TAATATAATTCTCTCTCTCGTTTATACTATTGTTCATTAGCTTGTTATATTTTAATTGTTCTTGCATCAACCAATTCGAGGGTATCCAAACTCAAGGGCTGAGTTCTATTTTAACACTGATTTCCTTTACTTTATAGTTCATTTCTGTTATTAATCTTCATATTTATCAATTGGTATTAAGTGAAATCACGTATCCTTAGAACCACATTATAAGTTTAATTGTTATCCGGTAAACATCAACCTTTAATTATTCAAAATTAGCACCACAGCTATCCATGCTTTAATTTTTCCCTGCTAAGTAACTTACAACTTTTGATCATTCTTTGGGGTGAGAGGACCTTTTCGTAATCTGGTCTTCCGGCTTAATTCTTACAAATTACTCACTTGATCACTTCATGTAAAAAAAAAGAAAGAAGAGAAGATAGAGCATGTCTAAGTGTGAAGTTCGACGTACTAAATTTTTCAATACGGTTCGAAGGGATCCTCGCTTTTATCTTTGTAAGAAAATTTAAAACAAGGAAAAGGCGACTAATTAACCAACCAACAAAACTATTCTTTACTAATCTGGCTAGTATTGAATTTGGTAAAATGAGTTAGTGTGAATCCATTTTTTTCGATCTATTCATTTACGGTACTATCTTTCAGACACCTACTTGAATGAATATATTCCATGAAAAAATAAAACGTCTTGCAAAAGTCTTTGCTTAGGATTACCAATGATTTCTTATTCTTTTTTGATTAGTTATAGTTAAGTGAGAAAAGTCTACGTGCAAACACATGTTGTGCATACGCCGATTTGGTGAACTCCGAGTGCCAATCAATTTATTCCACAGAAAAGTGGATTTCAATAATTCATGTACAAGAATAAGAAACTTTTGATGAACTACTGTGGATAGTCATAAGCCTCACTATTCGAAAACACTGATCTTTTGCATAACTAAAGAGTTTCTTATGACTCTACCATTATTACATAATTTTTTATGGGTGTACGGAAAAAACCGATAAATCGTATCAAACCAGTAATTCGAGTTAAACCAAAGAAAAATTCGATTGTGGTTTGGTATTGAAAAAAAAACCCGACCATAATTGGTTTGGTTTGGTTTGGTTTTAACTAAAAAAAAGTCAAACCTAAACTAAATCAATCTGATAATACATTTATATTATTTTTAAAAATATTTTATACATAAAATATTTATTGTAATGTGATTTATAAATATTTTTTAAATATTTTTACAATTTTATCTTTTAACATATTATTTTAAATTTGGACTTAACATTCTTGAATGGTATATAAATTTTATAGCACATAAATGTAGTAACTCAAACAAAGTTCAAATCAATACTAATTCTAACAAAAGAAATTCAATTCAACACTAGGAGTCAAGGACTAACAATAGTGTTGGATATCTATTTTTTAGTTTTACATTAGTTTATAATAAAAATACATAACTTAGTTTTTTTTTTATTGCTTAGTTATGCAATTAATACTCCTAGCACGTATTAACTATACTTATTTTAGAATGACCTATATAGTATTTTTAGATTATATTAGTTTTTATTATAGCTTATTAATTAACAGTATTTGTTTTATGCAATTTTATTATCTTTATTGTATATTTTAGTATATTGTTATGACTTATATCATATTATTTGTTATTTTCTTGGAAAATAAATTATATAGTTATATTTTACTAGGATTAAAGAAATATTTGAAGCACAAGTTAAATATTTTGTGCTATGAAGATTTTACCGGGGGAAAAAAATCCAAAAATTCGGGAAAACCCGAAAAATCCGAGAAAAATCGAGATTGAAAAATCCGACTTTGTTGGTTTGGTTTATAGATTTAAAAACCCGACACCATTGGTTTGGTATGGTAATTGAAAAATCCGAACAAACTCGAACTATGTACACCCCTAATTTTTAAAAAAAAGGAGTTGAAATTATTTTATAATATTAATTTGTGATACGGTCTTTATCATAATATAATATGATGAATTTAAACACAATTATAACAAACTGGAAATATTACTAACTTCCAACATTTTCGTCAATCCATGTGAATCCGTTACTTTTTGCATAAAACAATTAAAACCTATTACATTGGTATATTAGCGTAATGGAAATCGAATCACACTTGATTGTGTGAAAAGCTCCCACCTATCCTATTAGACGATATGCCTGTCCCATATCGATTTATACATATTTTTAAAATAGTATAAATAATGTTAAAACATATAACTAATGAGTAACAATTCTTCTAAATAACATATATTCAGATTGATTCTAAACTTAGAAAAATGACTTTTCTTCCTTGCCTCTTTTTTTATTTATCATTTTTTACTGTTTAGTTTTTCTTATGTTGATATATGCAATTGATTGCTAAATTTTCTTCTAAAAGAAAATCTTCCATAATATGGCATGTGCAAATGCAGGGTATTGCATTAAAATAAAGTCCATGTGTTTAAATAGGTGTGTGAAACATAACATATATTATGAAATCATACGTTTTCAGGTACGTACAAATGCAGAGTATTGCATTAAAATAAAGTCCATGTGTTTTTTTACTTTCCCTTTTATTTTGGTATTATATTTGTCTCACACAACAGCCAGCTGCTACAGAAGTACAGCTCACTCTTTTTCTAAGCCAGCTGCTACTTATAGTTATGGCTATTACCTCTATATTTCCAGATCAAACATCTACACCCCTATTTTATGAGGACCCTATGCAAAAATGTTGCGTAAAATAGCTTATTTCAATACATTATACAAGGGGTTTAAGTGTTTGATATTGAAATATAGGGATATTTGTGTAGAATATTTGTCGTATAGGGGATTTTAATTCGTGTTTGATTACATATATCTGCAAGTCAGTGACATTATAATATCGTTTAGAACAATTTTGTACTTTTGATATTATTCTAACTACTAGTAGAATATATTTTTCGTATAGCAAACTATTTTAGTGTGGGAAATCAGCCCTTAAAGCTAATCCTAGCCATTATAACTAGTTGCATATTACGCATGGGATCGGATTGGGAATAAAAGATGAGGGGATGCCAACAATTTATTTTCTACTACTATTTTCTTTTAAATTTTGTTTTATTAGTACACCATAACATGTTTTTCATCACGAAATTATATTATCAATATTTGGTTATATATCTTAAATAATTTCTCTTGTCTTAACCATATAAGCTTTGGCCGATGTATTAACATAATTGTCAACCTTTAATTATTCAAAATTAGTACCACAGCTATCCACGCTTTAATTTATCCCTGCAAGTTACTAACAACTTTTGATCATTCTTTGGGGGGTGAGAGGAGCTTTTCGTACTCTGGTCTACCAGCTTGGTTCTTACAAATTACTCGCTTCATGTAAAAAAGATAAAAGATAGGCCTCATTTGTTTTTGTTAAGATTAAGATGTATGAATCTGAATATACATCTAAATATTAATATATGTATTAATTTTAAAACGCCTTGAATACACATCTGAATATTAAAATCTAAATACTGAATATATAATTAAGACTGTTATTTACTCTACATCTGAATGTGTAAAACTTGTCTTTATTTAAAAATTAATAACATATGAATTAAAATCAAATAGTTCTAATTAATCTAATACTATATTAATAAAATATTTTTTAAATATTATGTGGTGGCTAGTGATATGATGGCTAACATTGGTGATTGTGGGTGTCGACTAGGTAGTGACTAGTGGTGGTGTTGGTTGATAACGGTGATTATGGATAGTAGATGGTAGATGATATAGTAGTTAACGATGGTAGTTGATGGTGGTGGTGACTGATAACATCGATGGATAATATATAGTGGTGGTTGATAGTGGAGATTGGTGATTTTTGTGATAATGGTTGTTGGGAGTGATAGTTGTAAATGATTGCTAGTGGTAGTGACAACTGATATTCATACTTGGCAGTGGTGGTGGTTGTGGTCGAGGATGGTGGGTAGTGAGTGGTGATAGTCTATAACGATGGGAGATAGCGATATATAGGAGTGATGATGGTGATTAGTGGTGAAAGTGTAGGAGTATAGTGAAATATCAGTTTTACATAAATTCTTAAATATATAACATCTTAATGATATTAAGACTATGTTACAGATTTTGATCATTAAGATCTATTCAGACTCGTTAAGTGGTTGTACAATTGAAAAAATAAACAAACTTAATGATTAATATTTGAATAATTAAGATTAAGATTTAAGAAACAAACGCATATAATAACTGAAATCTCAATGATTAAGATTCAGACTTTCATTAAGTATAAATAAATGAGGCCTAAATGTGAAGTTCAACGTCCTAAATTTTTCAATATGGTTCGAAGGAATCCTCGTCTTTTTTTTTTCTTTTTTTTTTTTCTTTTTGTAAGAAAATTTAAAACAAGGAAAAGGCCACCAATTAACCAACCAACAAAATTATTCTTTACTAATCCGGCAAATATTGAACTTGGTAAAATGAATCCACTTTTTCCAATCTTTTCATTTACCGTATACTATTTTTCGGACCCCTACGTGAATGAATATTATTTATGGAAAAATAAAACGTCTTCCAAAAGTCTTTGCTTGTGATTACCAATAATTTCTTATTCTTTTTTAATTAGTCGTTATAGTTATGCGAGAAAAGTCTATGTGCAAATACATGTCATATGTCATGCATATGCCCATTTGGTGAACACCGAGTGCCAATCAATTTATTCCATAGAAAAGTGGANCCCCCCCCAAATGCTATAGAAGAAAAAATTAAACAAAAACACGAGTTCTTAAAATATTTAACTTTTTTTTAAAAGAGTGTAAGTAAATAAATTATTGAACTCTCTAAATAGTAATATTTCAATTTTAGGAAATAAGAGATTGCATCATTGTTCCAAATGGAAGGATAATGATTGTCTTAAATTAAAGAAAATTTGTTTTATCTTTTGCATCAGAATATTCATTAGTCAAATATTGCTTAAATTCAAAAAGCATTCAAATAACAGAATGTCCAAGAACCAAAAAAAGAAAGAAAGGATTCATTAGAATCTTTTTCCATTCATCCTTTATGGGTAAAACATGAGTTCTTTTAACATTTAATACTTCTAATTCTTATTGGGTACAAGAATGTCAAAATCAGTGACAGTCCACTCAGCCACTTGATTAGCGTCTCTATAAATTTCAGTTCCCAAGTCAATTGAACTCCACTTCCTCTTTGCTGGTGCAGTTCCTGGATCCTGCAAGTTAACATTTTGCATCATTAATCTGTACTAATAGTATAAAAAAATTTTACTACGTTTTTGAAGGCTAGGGAAAGAGAACATATTGATCCAAACCTGGTAAAAATATAGGGATTGGGACAGCCTCCCAACATCAAGCTCCCATGTTTTTGGATCTCCAATCCAACCTTGTCCTTTGGTAGTAGGATAACCATATTCACCCCAAACAGGATGTGGTAAAATCTGCAAAATCTCCTGAGGTTGAGGATTACTATAAGGGTCACATGGAACACTAGGCTGCTCAACATGCTCCCCATTCCCTGGTGCACAATACAAATGGTAAGCCTCATAAGGATAACGAGTAGTCTCGCTTCGATGAACTCTTGTTCCATTTGGATATGTGTGATATGGAGGGCACAATTTTGGGCTATCTGATTTGCACCAGGATGGTGTTGCTGGATTCAAGATCATCTCACTATATCTTGTGACATCTGTAGTCACATCCCCATTACATGGCTCTCCATTGTTTTTCCAACAACTTCCCATGTCCATTAGATAAAATTGGCTATTTGGACCTCCACCATTGATCACATTCAATGTGAATCTTACCTTAAAATTTGGTGATTCTGGTATCTGCATAAAAATTTAACATTTCAAAAGGGCAGTCATAAAAATGTACAAAATCACGAAAAAAAGTTTATATTTTTACTCACAATTTTTGACATGCCCCTAGTTTGATAATGGTATCCACCAGAAAAACCAGATGTGGCATCTGATCTAAGGTAAAGCATCAACCAAGGATACTTTGTTGAGGTTCTTAAAACATGGTGAAAAATCCAGCTTCCTTGTCCTAGTTCTTTCTGCCATGTTACAGAATAGTAAGAAATGTTCTCATTTACACTTGTTTGGCTCAAACCAGAATCCAAATCCCATGATCCATAAAAACTTCCTTTAAGTGTAGTCTCATTAGGCCCTTGTAAATATGTGTAATTGTGGTAAATCAATGGCTGATTCATACATCCTTTACCAAAACATGGAAATTGGCTAGGAGGACCAAATGGACCTACTTTGTGACCGTTTTTCGGGCATTTAGCAGCATATGTATCCATGTTACCACTCTTAAGCATGATCATCCAAAATTGCCATGGATTTGGCTTGTCATCAACTTGACATTTTGATCCCAAATAAAGTTCTTTTTCTGCTGCATAAAGGTCTGGATTAAAAAGTGCCTTTTTATCTAATCCATCAAAAGATTTTCCTATCCCAAGCAAGTTGTCCTCTTCAGTAACTCTGTGTACCAATGAGGGTGGAACTCTGGTACAGGCAGAACAATTTCCACCTATAGAAACAAAAAACATTTAACATTTCAAACATAAACCAAGAAAATAAGATTACAGGCAGTCCGGTGCACTAAGCTCCCGCTATGCACGGGGTCCGGAGAAGGGCCGGACCACAAGGGTCTACTGTACGCATGCCTTATCTGGCATTTCTGTGTTTCCACGGTTTGAATCCGTGACCTCCTGGTCACGTGGCACCAATTTTACCAGTTACGCCAAGGCTCCCTTCAAGAAAATAGAATCACAAAAAGAAGAAAAGAAGGAAATAAAAGAAGTTCAACTCACCCTGTTGCTGAGAATCAAGAACATCAGAGCATTCTGCAGCTCTTGGGCTTCCCATTTTGGGCGCTTCTTCTCCAACTTCATTGCATTGGTTCCATGCCTCTATTGCCACCCTTAGCGAGTCTGATCTCATCCCTGGATCCCCAACAGCTGAAATGTACTCACTTCCATTTGGATTCAAGGAGAAAACACCAGAAACAAACACTTTGAATAGCAAAAGAGAAAGCAAACTGAACCAAGACAATGACATTTCTTGTTGAGCCATGTCTATGTTTTTGGCCTAGAATGTACACTAGCTTATATATTTAATGTGAAGGACTTGATATAGATATTTATTTATAATGTGCAATCTGTTGCAGATACTAACATCCTCAGATTTTTGAGATTTTGACCAAGTATATATCACTCCCTTTACAGTTTTTTTAAGTATTTGAAAGTTGACTGTTTTATTAATTTTTGTCCTTTTTAAAAAAATTCCTCTTTATGGTAGTACAGGTGTAGAAAGAAAATAATGTATTGCAGCTGGTTGGCGGTTGACACTTGCTCCATTTTCCTATAATAGGTTAGGTTCAAACTTGATCTTGAAATCACTATTCGAAAGGTTCTTTTAACCAAAATGTCCAGAGTATAATTTTAACAACATCAACTAACAAACTAGATGTCGATTGCACTGTCAATTCATGTTCCTTTGAAATGTTATGCTGAAATTAAAATTCATATATCCAACTCAAAAGCAATAAATGAAAGTGAACTATGTTCCCTATGTCACATGTAACATGGAATCTTGTCCTCTGGAATAAAGAAACATAGACTTAATTAAAAAATTGAAGTCTTATATGTAAAGCAATTTTATAATGTTTGAGGGATGAGAAAGTTCTTTGAGCCTAGGAAAAATTGGTATTCTTGAACATAAAGGGTTGCCTTTTTATCATGTTTGAGGGAAGAGAAAGTACAAGAATTATGCTCCTTTTTTATTTTAACAATTATGCTTTTGAAGACTCAAATTAGCAAATATTCTTTTCCAATATTAAAATACTATTAAAGTCTTTTTTTTTTCGTGACAGTAAAAATGCTTAAAACCCAACACCACCAAAAAAAGACCCCACAAGAAGAAGGTATGGTAGATGGATAACCATTTGGTGAGAATACACCAAAGTTGGTTAGTCTTTGACAACTCCATAGCTAAGCTTGTATGTTAAGGCACTTTAAGTAAAAATTATTTTTATTTCTATAAAAATAAATATCCAATTATTTGTTCACATGGAATTATAAGTCTTTAGTATACTTCCTATTCCTAATTAGCATTAGATTTGAAGTTGACCAAATTAAGTGGCATTCTTAAAATGTTCGAAATTTAATTTATCTGTTAAAGTAATAACCTTAAACAATGTCATTTTCACTTTTTAAGTATCATCATTTTCGGACTTGCATTGAAGGCTGATAGCCAAAACCTTTTTAGGCCAACAATTAAAATTTGTGATCCAAAATAGGAAAGTTCATTTTTGGTAAAGGACTAGAATTCCCTCTATAGTTAACCAGCCCAAAATATTTACAACATTGCCTATTACTACCTTGACTAGCCCAAGAGCTAACCAGGTCCTGCATTAATTACTTCTTATATACAACCATGATTACCTTTTATTGTTAATTTTATGTTTATTTCTCAATCTAACTTAGTTCTAACTTATTTATATCTATAATTTTATTAAAATATAAATTATCAATCACATAAAATGTTAATAAATCATAAATTTTGACATCGGAAAATATTAGCAAAAGTCTTTCTTCCATCTTTAGGAAGCGAAAAGTGACATGCTAGAACGAAAAGAGCAAACAATTAAAAATTTCAGAAAAAAGAATGTAGCAATCACATTCTTCTGGTGTGTAGAACTTAGTTTTCTTCAAAAGAAAAACAAGCTGGGGAAGGGGGAAGGATGATAAACATTATGTCCTTTGTGTTAAAAGAAGGTACCCCAATGCATGAAGTTTCCCGCATTCATGCAGGGCCCTGGGAAGAGTCATATCCCAAAGAAGTGTGATTTAGACAATCTACCTTGATGTTTGCATCAGTAGATGATTCTAGGACTCGAACTCGTGACCTAAAAATCACAAAGAGACAACTTTATCATTCTGATTCTACGATTCAAACCGGTGACCGAAAAGTCACATATTGTTCCAAGGCCCCCTTCTTATGTCTTTGTGTAAAGGATTAATCCTATTGCCTTTTTAGATATTGGACAGTCTTTAGGAACCTTGAGTAATATTGGACCAAGAAGAAAGGCAATTACTACATATTGGATGTCATATTGAGCCTATGTCAATCATCCTCTAAAGACAAAGCAACTTAGGCCCATAATTTGCTGATTGAAATGCAAGTGTCAATCAAACATTGTAAAAATGTCTAATGAACATATTATTATTAGCCGAAGTTAAGGTCAATTTACTAAAGACAAAGCTAAAAGCAAAAGAAGGAACCTAATCTACAAAACAAAAGACAAAGCTAAATCATGTTTAAGGTAGAACCAAAGTGGAAAATTTTGGGCCCTAGTATGTGCCCTCCGTTAAACTAGTAGGAGCTTTTACCAATACAACCTGCAATTTTGGGATGCTCGTGATACTGATATCTATAAAAACAAAGCTACTTTTTCTCCTTAGGGTTGAGATGATAAAATCCTAGGGAGTTGGCTAATTGTTCAAGGTTATGAACGTCTAATCTTCTCCACAACTTCAGACCGAACCTCCTCTTATTCAATTTGGATATTTAATTCCGTAGTTGAAATGCTCAGTTGATTCTTTAATCTTTAAAAAAAAGAGAGACTTATTTCAATAATTCATGTACAAGAATAAGAAACCTTTGATGTGTTGGAATATATCGATCTCACTATAACTATTTGATTTCTCATAAAGGAATTTGTACAGAAGAAGAGAAGAAAGGAATCCATGAAGAAGAAGAGAAGAAAGGAGTGAAGGAATCCACAAAACAAATTCGGACAAAACAATGCTAAGACTTGGTCTTAGCCCATCCTTTGAAAAGCTACGTGACAAGCAACGTGGCACCATCTCAACCAACAAGCAAAATAATCAAAGATCTAATCTGGACCGTTCAAACCATGGTCACATTCTTGACCCTCTCATATGCACACAAAGACCCACATGCAGAAGAAATAATAGTTAGTTATATTGTTAGAATTGAGTTAGTAAAAATAGGACAAGTATACAAAATTCATAGGCTATTTTTATTTTTTGATTCTTTCTAAAATAGTTTATACTTGTATAAATATACAATCCTCTTGTACAGTAATTTCATTCAGAAATATACAGAAAATTTCACAATTCTCTTCTTCAAAATCCTACATGGTATTAGAACTATAGCTCTTCTTTTCAATTTTCTGAATCAGTCATGTCTCCTTCCGATACTATTGAAACTCCTATCGTCCATAACTCATCATAGACAACAACAGGTAATGGAAATACCATTGATTCCACACATCCCTACTTTCTTCATGCATCTGATGCACCAGGGATGATACTTGTAAACACACCATTTGATGGTCGAGGTTATGCTGGATGGAGCATATCTATCTTAATCTCACTCTCAGCCAAGAACAAATTGAGTTTTATTGATGGATCCTGCCCTATGCCAACCCCAACTTATCCTACCTTTCAAACTTGGAGCAGATGTAATCATATGGTTACATCATGGTTGTTGAATTCTCTGACCAAGGTGATTGCAGACAGTGTCCTTTATTCAAAAATAACTAAGGATGTGTGGTTGGATCTGGAGCACAGGTTTGGCCAACCAAATGGAGCCAAATCATACCACATGCAAAAGGAACTATCTGATTTAGTTCAAGGATAAGTAGATATTGCGAGTTATTTTACCAAAATAAAATGACTATGGGATGAATTAGACACTCTTAACACTAACATGTATTGTTCTTGCAACTTGTGATTGTGGTGCTAAGAAGAAAATACAGCAATTCAAGGAAGATTCTCATTCAATTCCTCATGGGATTGAATGAGACCTATGGACAGGCTAGAAGCAACATTCTCATGATCAAACCATTACCCTCAGTCAATCAAGCATATTCCCTTCTCATGCAAGATGAGAATCAAAGGGAAATCCATGTCAGTTCCCGATTCACAACAGATGGTTATTCCTTTATGCTGAGAAATCAAGATTCTCAGAACCCTCAAACCTCTACTGGTTATTGATGTCGCCCAAACTCACTTCACAAAAATAGGTAGTGAGGCGGTCGAAGCAATAATAAAACCCAACGCAAGTCGAGGTCGAATCCTCAGGGAGTTAAAATTGGGATTAGGTATATATTTAGTGTAATTGGACAATATGCCTTAGATTACACTTCCAGATTCTTGTTTGTTGTTTCTACTTCTACTTCAAACTGTTGATTGCAATTATAAAACTAGGAGACAATATTTTTGGTTTTGGTTATTTTTCAAATGATAAAAGATCTAGTGTTGCGATTTTCACCTAGGTGGTTACCTAATGGGTTGAAAACTCTAGGACTAGCCTGATTGGTCGGGGTTGTAATATAGCAATCACACGCAATTAACCACTCTATACCTCTCAGTAGTTTGAGTGGTTTTGCCCAATTTGGCTTTCTCAAGTCCAAATGGGTATTGCACAAAACAAGTGATAACTGCTCAAGTCGGGTCTTACTATCTCTAGATTTAACCCTTTAATTGGGGCTATCAATTTCTTGAGTTCACCCCAATTTCTTGTTAGCTAAGTTTTTCTAGACTTAGTCTCTCTTTCTCAAGTAGAGACTAAGTCAATTAGGCATGAATCAATATTTGCAACCATTAATTCTTGAATTCAAGCAAGAACTAGGCTAAATATCACTAACCCAATCACAAACAAGTCCTAAATCAAATACCCATTAAGTACCCACACTAGAGTTGGGCTACAATCCTAGCTAGAAATTTAGCTACTCATGAAAAATGAAGAAATACAAGAAGAAATTAAGATAGAATGCATAATAATTGATTAGGGAAAGAAAATCTAATATTTAGAAGCTAATCTAGTACAATATTACTCAAAACAATAAAGGAAAATAGCTCAGGTGCTCTCCCAAAATAAAACTTGTCCTAAAAATGACAAAAAGTTCTATTTATACTAAGCTGAAAATATCTGACAAAATGCCCCTGCGGAGGTTATGCTGCCGCATAATGAGACTTGGCTTGGCAGATTCCAGTTCTGTGGCCGCACAATTCTAGATTGCGGCTGCACTCCTTCAACTACTATGGACCGCGCATTTGTGAGTGCGGCCGCACTCTTGCTTCTGTGGTCGCACAATTATAGTGCGATCCACACTCCTTGATCTTAGGCTCTGGTTGTGTGAGACTTCT